AATTAAAAAAAAAATTCGTAAAATATGCTTATGTAATTATATCTTTCATCTGAAAATCTACAGTTTACCCCTATATAGTTTATACCTTTAAAATATTACAAAATCAAAATATATCCCTTTAAAATTTATGCTTTGCAAGCGAATAATTTTTGAACACGAAGCAAGAAAGTTTACATCTTAAATATAATTTCATTGACGTGGAAATTTTCATAACGCAGTGTAATTTACAGGAGACTCGCGATTTATTTGGAAGGTAATGAAGTGTGGGTTATTAATATTCTGAAGCTGCGTTTAATTACAAAGATAATAAAGTTTAATTTATGCATGCTTAGATATATTTTGATGATGGTGATGACGAAATTAGTTTGTTTGATATTATTATTTAAGATGACACAGAAGCGGAAGAGGTGTTTTTAAAAAAAATATTTAAAGAAGTGAACTTTCCTACACTCTTAGCTAAAGTTTACATAACTCTTAGTCTTAAAAGGTAATTAATCGAATATATATTTATTACATGTATCCTCTTTACAATATTGAATAAATGTAATTAAAAGTATGATTTTGGTCATTAGCTATTAAAACCATTGTAAAGATTAAATAGTTTTGTTTTCTTTCCTGACATGTTTATTTATCATCACTTTAATGCGAATGTAAGAACAATTATTGATAGCGTAAAAATTAAATAATATTCAAAAACAGAGTTAAAAAATACATGGATAACCCTGGGTATCGTGAGGGTTAAGCTGGGGGTTGATTTGAATAAAAGCACTTGGTAGTGGTTACCGAACACTTGTATTCCGAATTATTGTACAATAAAAATTACGATACAATAGCACGTGACAAATTGATACCAACATCAAATAAATTCTTTAGACACTTATACTATTGGCGGAGAATCTTAACACCGCGATTCAGAAAACGATCTCAGATAAAAAGCACCATCTATGAACGAATGTTGGAACACTTGTTCTCTGAATCGCGAGTTTCTTACATGTCAATCGCTTGGCGGTTAGACAATACTTTTAGACATAACTGTAAAAACCCTTTTATCTCATGACACGTCTATTCACCATTCGCTCCCCGCTACCGCTCGTACATCACACCGAGCACCCACGGTCAGTAATTAGTGGTCGCTACAAAACTTCCGAGTCATTAGATCGCGCGAGTAATTGCGGTGCGGATCACCCCTCGCTCTGTACCCAATTAGTTACCAACCCAATAGTTAGTAACACTACAGTTATTACGGCAACGTTAGCTCAAAATTGTTTCTTATCTCCTTGGGTTCAGGGTTAATAATGTTGCGAGACGGTCCCGTGATGCGCAGTTGTTTTTTTCGTGAAAGTTTATTTTTGTAGTTGAGAAGATTATGTTTTAGTCGATGTAGTAGACACTTGTATAACGTGATGATGGAATGTATGTGTATGTTTTTCCTTGAATAAAGATGAATTATGAAAGTACGTCTGGTTCACTGCTTCCTGAAAACTCATTCTGGTAATTCATTTTTAAGCACTACGTGGATACGATTGCGTTTAGTTACTTGAATACACACACACTTATACATATTTCTCGCTATAAAATAATACCTTCATCCTAAACTACCGAATTATATACGCCTGCATTATTTTTATTATTATCTGAATACACTATACCTATTTCTTACATTTCCAGATCACATTTTCCTTACTAATTACAACTTGGAAGAAAATAGTTTTGTGCAAATTACGGGAACCATTACACAATCTCTTGGCGTCCCATTTTTAGCAATAAAGCTATCCCATTCACGGCGCCGGCCCATTAGTTGTTTGTTTAGTAAGATTTGTGGGCCTCTAGTCGTGCAGTGTGAATGGAACAGGGTCAAGACTGGCGCCGGGGTGACGTCGGTGCCTTGCTTCCATGGATTTATAAACACGTGGATACGAATGGATACTACTTTACATAAGTATTGATCGCGAAAATACCTCTAGTGAACTCATAGAAGCCAAAAATATTAAATGCTAGCAAATTTAGAGGAAGCTAAAACGTTCATAAATCGTATCAAAGTCTTAACAATGATCAATAACCATACTAAGTGAACGAAGGTCGACTTGGAGAGGATGGATGAATAATACACTGCACTGAAATACTAATCGCGTATAATAAATCAATTACAATGCTTGCTGCTCACACCGTAGATGTCATTTGTCCGTACCCTATATAAATCCCGGTAACGAAACCATAGCGCCATCTAACTCGATCCCAACGCCATCTATCGAGCGCTGGGACAACTCGTGTTAAATAATGAATTATTTTATAATAAAATAAAATGTTGATAGCGCTATGATCCCGTTACCGCCACGAACATACCGCCCACCAAGGACATATTTTCAATAAATGTCCTTAATAATCCGCCCACCATAACAAATGTGTCATATCACAATCTACTACCCAGTATGGCAACTGACGTCCTTGGCGGCTCGTATGTGTATGTATAAGTATAAACCAGCTTAAATAATTCCACTAAAACATAAACAAACAATTCCCAACCCGTTACATAAACTTTAAAATCAATAACAAAAATTAAAACTTCTAAGTAACAATTAAATTAATATCTCAACTTATCAGGTTAATTATACTAAATTTCATTAGATTCCTGGCAAATTGGCAAAATACATAATTTTGATGTCGGCCTTTTAAACATTGACGATTGAGTGCGTACAGTTACTACTCGAGTCAGTCCATCAGGACCCGGATGTTTTTGCTCAATTTTTCCCATTAACCACCTTGCTGGAGGCATATTATCCTCCTTAATTAAAACAATGTCACCAATAGATGGTTCTGGATTTTTATGAGCCCACTTATGTCGCTGTAAAAATTGTTGTAAATAATCATTAGACCAACGCCGCCAGAAATCTTGCATTATCTTCTGATGAAGTTGCCAACGTCTTAAACTATTAACAGTATTGACCTTTTCATAATTTGAATCCGGGGGTAAAACTGGTGGTTCTCCAATAAGAAAATGGCCAGGAGTTAATATGGTAAACTTATCTTGATCCTCAACGTAAGACAATGGTCTTGAATTAAGGCAAGCCTCAACCTGAGCCAATACTGTGGCCATCTCTTCATAAGTTAAGGTAGAATTTCCTATTACCCGTTTGAGGTGGTACTTAGTAGATTTTATGCCTGCCTCCCACAAACCCCCAAAGTTCGGTGCGTGAGGAGGGACGAAATGCCATTCTGTACCATTATTACCCAGATATTCAACCAATTCCGAATTAAAACCAGATTTCTCCCGATTAAATAAATACAGCAACTCCCGTGCTGCACCCACAAAATTAGTGCCGTTATCACTATATAATTCAGCGCAACGACCCCGTCTGGCCACAAATCTTCTAAAGGCAGCTAAAAAGGCACTTGTGCTCAGTTCACTGACTGCCTCCAAATGTACTGCCTTGGTGGACATACACACAAATAAAGCAATATATCCCTTATAGGACTTGTTGCCTCGACCTGGTGATACCCTTATATTAATAGGACCAGCGTATAATAATATGACAAACCTCGTCTTGCAAAGACAGACCAACCATCAGGTCATCATTAAGTGACCTCCCGTTGCTGCGCTTACATGAAGCATCAAATACAACCACGCACCTTGGTTGTATAAAGATACAGGTAAGAGGATAAAGATCCTCCCGGATAACAGCATGATGAGGTAAGTAAACACTATTTTTATTATTTCTTTGTTCTTTCAGATTCTTCGACCATGTGGTTAAGACTTAAATACTCTTGTATCACGTTTGCGTAGTCAGCCCCTAATTTATTATGTTTTGCTAACTTTGCTTTTAACCCCTTAAGTCTTTTTTCAGCTATCCCTTTGGATTCGCCGCCCGTACCAACCAGGTTCGTATTCCGTAATGGCAATCTCACCATGCCATCTTTATGCCTTACTGTAAACAATTCTTCACATTTGGTTTCCTCCTCCGTGAGCATCCTTTTTGTTCCAGGTGTTTCTTTCAATTCCCAGAATTTTCTCAATAATTCATCATCCTGGACGCTGGTATGCATCACGGTAATTTTTGAGTGAGAATTTATATCTTGATCAACATCAAACGCACCTGATAATATCCATCCCAAAGTGGTTTCTTGCGCTAATAGAGTCCCGTTTATATTCTTTTTAACTCCTTGCTGAATGACTTGACTGTATACCTCAGCGCCCAATAGAACATCGATCTTATTAGGAGTAAAGTATTCCGGATCAGCCAATTCAAATTCGTTCAAGTCCACCCATTCTACCCTAGCTACTTTAGCCGATGGAAGAAGCGATGTTACCGACTTAAGAACGTAGGCGTTAACCCTTATTTGAAACGATGGATTTATTCTAGATTGAAGCTTTATTTCCACTACGGCCGTTGATGTTGTACCCTTATCTCCCACCCCCAATACTTTGTTTTTCGAAGATCTTTTCTTCAACCCTAGATACTGAACCAGAGACTCTGTAATAAAAGAACCCTGGGATCCCTGATCCAGTAACGCCCTAACTGTATGGTAAGTCCCATTCTTCGACTCAGCCTTTACTAAGGCTGTAGTTAGTAAGATAGTTTTATTGCCTCCTGTCGCAAGACATGAGACTACCTTTGTTTCAGACCCTTGGTTTGCAGCACCACTACCCTCACCAACTTTCGACCCTACAACACCCTGCGGGTGTAACAATGAATGGTGGCGGCGATTACACACTTGGCATTTGAGAGTGTTTTTACAAAATTTTACAGAGTGGTTGCTAAGCAGGCAATTATAACATAAATTGTTCTGTTGAACAAAGCTACGCCGATTTTGAGTACTTTCTTTTATAAACTTTGTACATGAACTTATTTTGTGTTCACCTGTACAAAATGCACAAGATATCTTCTTATCTTTAATCACATGAAACGCCCGTGTAGCTTTTGAGACCCTATCTACTTTAGTTTCTATATTTTCTAAACCCCGAAACCGATTAACTAGAAATTCTTTAAGTCGATCAAAAGTAGGAAGATCATCCTTTGGATCTGACGCTACTTTTAACTCCCAGGCTCTTCTAGTAACCGTATCCAATTTTTCAGTAACTATGTGAACAATTAAAAATGATGCAAGATCTATATCGAGATTTTTTATTGACTCCAAACAATCCGATGTTGTACTCAAAAGTTTTTTAATATCTGTTGCGGACTCTCCAGTTAAAGCCTTTTGATTAAATAAACATTTTACCATACCAGTTGCCAAGAATCTTTTATTATTGTACATGGACTCTAACTTTTCCCAACTAGTAACATAATTATCCGAAGTCACATTTACATTTCTTAATAACAGTTCCGCTTCCCCAGTTAAATATCCTTTCAAATAGTATAATTTCTGTGCATCATCTAATCTACTATTATTATGTATCAACCCCATAAATAAATCTCGAAAGGTCAACCACTCGTTGTATTTACCGGAAAACATTGGTATTTTGACTTCTGGCAACTTAAAATTATTATATGTTTTGCTACAACCACTAAGTCCCGAACTACAACATTTTTCTTTACTTGAAGTATCATTTCTAATTAATTCCTTTAGAGTGCTTTTAAATTGTACATATAAATCTTCGACCTCCTCATAAAAACAATCTTTATGATACTTAGAACTCTGCAATTCGGATTTCTTTACTTCGTTTAATATTTTAACGTGAGTATTATAGAAAAGTTGCCATTGTTGTTCTAAATTTTCTAACCTTGTTTCAATATAAGATACTGTAAGCCGGTCTTTAGGACATTTCTTAAAGTTAACCATAGACCTTTCAAGTTTATTTTTTACATCTTCCTGGATACCCACAAATGAATCCATTTTTTACACAGAATATTAAGTACAAACAGATAACTAATACAACAATCTTTCATCTACACAAATACAATAGAGAAAGAATTATAATTATATATTTATGCTAAACTTAATGTCCACTAGTTTCCGAACACAAATCTTAAATTTTTACAAGTTTTTTTTATTTATCATGAAAATATTACAAGTCTTTTTGAGTGTAACCTCTATAGAAAATCGGGCATAGGTTCCCCGTCTCAACCACTTTTTCCTTAAAATTATTACAAGTCCGAAATTACACACAAATGAGACTAAGTTAATTTTCTACTGAATTTAAGGTTTAATTTTGACTGCACTTTTTACTTTTTCTATTAGATTCTTCCTGAATTAATAAGGTTGAAAGTACTCACGATTTTTCCACTTATTCACTCACTGACACTTATGACACCTGTCGCGTCACGACGTCTCCACTACACCACACAAGTGGCGCCGTCTGCCTGCTTGACCACGAACTGATGAGCAGCCCTTGCGTCGTCCCTCCGGATGCTCGCCGACCATCAGCGATGCTGCACCACGCACCGCCAACGACTCCCGGCTCCTTCCGGTTCCACCTCCAGGGTACTCCAGATACCTCTCACCTGGTACCCCTTGAGGGGATGCTCTGTACAGCGATCCACTGCCCAGTAATGACGCGAAGGATGGTATTTTACCACCACCGGAACCACAAACACTCCCGACCAATCCGACTCCGAAGGACCATGAACGAAGGTCGACTTGGAGAGGATGGATGAATAATACACTGCACTGAAATACTAATCGCGTATAATAAATCAATTACAATGCTTGCTGCTCACACCGTAGATGTCATTTGTCCGTACCCTATATAAATCCCGGTAACGAAACCATAGCGCCATCTAACTCGATCCCAACGCCATCTATCGAGCGCTGGGACAACTCGTGTTAAATAATGAATTATTTTATAATAAAATAAAATGTTGATAGCGCTATGATCCCGTTACCGCCACGAACACTAAGTAATCATGGGGCAAATATTTTAGGTGAAACTCTAGCAAAAATGAATTTGCTTTAATATAATAAGTTTAAGAGTGGGAGAGCCATGCTTCGGCACGAATGGGCCGGCTCGACCGGAGTGATACCACAGCCTCACAGAAAACCGACGTGAAGCAACGCTTGCGTTGTGTTTCGTCGTGTGAGTGAGGTTAACGGAGGCCTAATTACCTTCCCCTTCCCCAATCTCCCCAAACCCTGAATCCCCAACGATCCTCAAACTCCTAATCCCCAAAAAGCCGGTGACGTACTTGTAACGCCTCTGGTGTTCCAGGTGTCCATGGGCGACGCCGATTGCTTACAATCAGGTGATCCGTCTGCTCGTTTATCGGCTTATGCCATAAAAAAAATAAGATTCACTCAAATAATATAATAATACGTCATACACGCGAAAAATTTACCGCAGTAGCTACCTACCATATAACCAAATACAGCGTGAGATCCATTTTTCACGACGCATGTCATTATTTTCTTCTAACCGAGTGATTCAATCCTTTTGGAAATATCAATTCAATACGTCACTTGGATTAAGAACTCAAGCGTATCTTATACATTTATTGATGGTAGCTTAATCGTGAGTAATCGCGTGTTCTGACTACGATCATGAATCTATATTTAAAATAATTTTACACACAACATTCTGTCTACGTTCATAGTCTAGTATAGTCTCAAGGTCATCGAGACTATCAAATCTATAACTAAAATCTCAGCACATTATAAATTCTTATCCAGATACACAATAATTCCATGTACCATTCGACGAGCGGCGTAGCCAATGAGTGGTATCGTAGCAACTTAGCGTCGTAGCACTGGAGCTGCACCGCTACGCCCGTAGCACCGTAGCCGGCACTGCGTGTAATTTATCGTCGTGTATCGGAAACGCCTCCGTGGTGCACCACTAATATATTACTATCTAAGATAAAACTACTAAGGAATTGGAATGAATATTTTTACTTATATGGCTTACTGTAAGGATTTGTTGAATGGTCGCTGGACAATAATGGCTTTGATTCTTCTGTTTATTGAAGTTTATTTACTACTGCTGTCTAAGATTTCTAAGAGAGTTACAGATACATTTGGTGCAATTCTAATAATATGCTGATGGTCTGCGTAAAAAGGACAATTGTTGTTTTATTGTTAATCGATTAATCTGTTACAATAAACTAGACTTGACATACGTTCAGATTACAGCTTCTCACAAGAAATAAATATTTTAACTCATTTTTTTACCTTCATTACCATTTACATACTCACCCAGTATACAAAACAGTTCTTTAAGAACTTTTCTTATTTACGTACCAACGTAAACACCGGATTCGCTCACACTTGAAAACTTACAGGCCTTTCTGAAACTACAAACTATTCATCCGTTGTCCCAGGACTTTGTGAAAGGGTCTCCCGTCCGCAGTCCGTCCGTCGTTGAACCGAGATAAGGCTGCGTTTACACCACCATTAATATCAATCACCGTGTGTCGTGTCCTTTCAATAGGCTCTATAGTGATAACGGCCTATAGAAAGTTCAGTTCAAAGAAGAGAAAGTTTGTCACCCAAAATGTGGGGATTTGGGATTTCTTTCGGTAGTTTTAATAGCTTTGTTGTACTTAAGGATTTTTTGGCTAAATTTTTTTGATGCTGCGATCTAGTTTGAATTATTCTACCGTAATTTATTTTCATGAATCAATTTTGATATTGAATCAAAGAAACCATCGACAAAGCTTGCCATTTGCAAAGTATACAGATATATTGTATGGTATTTATCTTCCTGAAAAATAAAACATCAACATGAAATCTAGAGTAATTATGTAATCGTATACTGCAGGCGTCTAACAGTAACGACTGTTGAGTAATTAAATCATTCGATAACGGAAATCGTCAAAATTTACGATAACTCATAAATTCAATCGTGGAATTTAGTGCCGTCTTATAATTCAGAGAGGTAGTGGCTCGTGAAGTGTCCCCTACTAGGGGTGCTATGTATCAGAGGGTTTTAAACCAGAGTGAAGGTATTAGGGAAAATTTTACATGTAAATATGAGATGTGGGATCATTTTTCTGAGTTCTTAAAACATGGGAATAATGTTTCAAATATCAACATAACATAACATCACGCCTTTTTGTCCTCGAAGGGGTAGGCAGAGGTGCATATTACGGCACTTAATGCCACTGTACAATGTAACACCCACTTTTCACTATTTATGTTATGAGTCCCATGTAACAGGGGGTGAGCCTATTGCAATATACCGGGCACAATTCTAGAATTGTAAGTAAAATATCTCAGTAGTAGCACGGAGTCTAGACTCCGTGCTACTACTGAGATATTTTAAACCCAGTAATACTTTGCCCGACCTGGGAATCGAACCCCTTGCCCGGCAGTCGCACTTGCGACCACTCGGCCAACGAGGCAGCCAGTTAAATACCAATAAAGTACTAAATTGAGTAATATGCTACACCCGAAGGACTGGTGTTGCGGGGTTGCAGGTGTCCATTTGCGGAGCTGCATGTTTACCATTAAGTAATTCTTCTGCATATTTGCTCATTTTACTCACAAATAAATTTGATTGAACTGGCGTCAATAAATCTGCAAATGTTCAAAGGTACCTCATTCGGTCAGTCGAACTAGAAGACGGAACCTAAGCGAATGGTAATAAATTGCCTGCAATTAATATAGGTTCTGCAGTAGAAACCCGTTTCAATTGGTACCTACCAAGTAGTTGAAGTAGATATATTTTTTTATTTAAAAATTACTATACGTACATGCAATTGAAAATATACTTAGTATATTCCTTCGTTTAATATTCTAATTAAAATATTAAAATGGTAATTGTCTTCTGTCGACACACAAGTCTCGTCCAAATTCAAATACTAATATCTAGATTCAGCAGCAGCAGCAGCAGCTAACAACTGTTATTGTACATATATTATGTATGAGTAAGCAATCCTACCTTCAAAATATCAACTCTTCAATCCATCATATTTATGAGTAGGATGATAAATATTCATTTTTAACTTCACACCTACATCCAAAACCTTCCTAGCCACAACTAGTAGCAGCCACAAGTCTCCGAATCGTATTTATGCGTCTGAGATCGCGCATCTACGGAACATAAATAACGTCCAGTGGAACGATACTACAATTTATGCGCACACCGCAACACTGCAGTGCGATCGGAAACTACAACGAATTAACAACACCTCTTATGTTAACAAAATTTTGTATGTATTTATTGTTTAGTTTTAACGTGAGAAACTTTAACGTCACTTTGGTGTTTATATGGAAGTAGTTTTTATAAAATCATTATTTGTGTTGATCGAGTATCTATCACATGGCGTGTTAAATCTCCAGGAACATTTGCAACGTCGGTATATCCACAGAAATTATAGATAATTCTAGAATAAAGGTCATACGGTGAACGGTTTGCTGAAACACACTGAAATACATACTAATAGTTAGTATGGAATTATTGAAACATTAATACTTAAACCATATTGTACATTGAACTACGTTATTTTCCTTCTAAGGCGAAACTTTTCCAACAAAGGTCTTTATTATATCTTTAGCACCCCTTTGACAGTTCCATAACATATCCCATGCAAGTTGGAAGCACTCCGGAGTATTGAAGGCGCACCCCAGACGGACATGAGTCTGCTTTCGATTCACCCCATCGCTCTGTCAATACTTAATGATACTTTCCGATTTCTTCGCTTCCCACAAGACATTTTAATGTCTTCCAAATAATGCCATTTCCGTTGTTTCTCTTATCGAATTGTTGAGTTGTATTTTTGTAGAAATCTTGAGTTGGTTAATCTGGACCTTAGAGTATTTAATCTAAATCTGGACGACATTTTATTAATATCATAACATTTATCTGAACGGGTAGGTAGAGGTGCACATTACAGCACTTAATGCCTCTGTACAATGTAACACCCACTTTTCATTATTTATGTTATGAATCCCATGTAATTGGGATTGAGCCAATTGCCATATACCGGGCACCTTCCCAGACTCCGTGCTACTAAGAATTAAAAAAACCCAGTAATACTTTTGCCGACCCGGGAATCGAACTCGAGACCCGGCAGTCGCAGTAGTTAGTTAACTAGTAGGTATAATATAAAAGAAAAATTACAACAATACTTGCTTTCCACCCACGGCTCTTCCTAATCAAAGAAGAAAGAGTAGGACATACCATACCTATCTTCAACCTCTTGGCTATCTCTAGACACAAAAGTCATATGATAAAAACGAGCTGTTTTATTTTTAAAGAATAGAACAAACATATTTGCTCATGTATTTACGTAAGGGTTATTGTCCGAATCGAAGTAATACATACGTACGTCGCGGTTGTGGTAGTGGTCACAGCGTGAGGTTGAGTAATTCAAAATTGGAAAAGAGGATAGGAAGATCTTTGCAATAATAAAACAAATCTACAAATCTTGGCACAAAATATCTTATCGCTTATGGTATTTATTTATTCCAAACTTCATGTATAAATAAACAGACTTAATATGAAAGACAGTTTTGGATGCAGTACAATTTTGAATCCAACAATCCTCTAATTCCTAATCCCAAAAGGCCGGTAACGCTCTTATGTTCCATGGGCGACGCTGATTGCTTACCATCAGGTGATCCGTCTGCTCGTTTACCGGCTTATACCATAAAAAAAGCAGAGCTGAACGTTCCTTACCAAATGAGAAAAAGATAATGAACT